AAGAAGAGAGGATTGCACAATGGTCAGGTTCTTGATCTCCAACCTTTATTTAAGACCAGAATCTTCTTTTCAAACGGAGATTAAACTATTACCGATTCATTGGTCTCCATTCACAGTTATATGAGAGACAGAGATGGATATGGCTTCCGTTAAGTATCTTTATCGTTCTCTTTCGCCACCACGACATAGAGCATTATTGGAGCCCTCTGAATGTATCGCCGTCGTTATTGGCAAATTCTTGTCTACTGCGATGATGAGCACTGGAAGCCACCTTGACAGATGTAAGACCCAACAACGAAGAAAGTCCAAAGTGGTATTGTGTCTAGACGGTCAGCGGCGATGATATCATGTTGCAGTCGGCATGGATATCGACTGGGAGATTGTTAAGAACAAAACATAGTATAGCAAATATCCCGGAGCACAATATGGTCCTTCGCTTTCTGTGGAGTGACATATTAATTCGTTTTAACTAGCGGATTGCCACACCTTACAGATTACAGTGTCACGGTAGTCTCTGATAGATCTTCTATCTAGAAAAGATGCAACATAGTTTGGGCTTAGGTAAATTGGTTTCGGTCCAACGCCAAGTTAAGTAATACTTATTCGCCACTCGTAAAGCTAAGAGTACTAGATCTTAGGATTTTTAGTATCTTTAAAACCCTCAACTTACATCTAACTCTGGGCCTATACTAGATTTTCTACATAAATATAACGCCTAGGGTAGCTTTTTACGGGACCTTCGCATGAGAATTCTCACAGTAATGTGGAAAATATATATTTCCTTAACCACTACTAACTATTATTTACAAATGAACCATTCAGCAAATGAAGGTTCTTGAGAGCGCTGATTTATCGGGATTTACCTGTGGGCCTATGGAGCCCTGAAAACGTAGGTTGGAATAGCTGCTTATAAGAAAAGCCCAGATCACAGGTAGGACTGGAGGTCAGATAGCCGTGCGCGTGATATTAAACATCTCAGAAATGGTTGCCTATACATATGCTCAGTTATGGTCCTAAGCATACAAGTATGTGGGATCATGTTATGTTTAGCAGCATTGTCGTTTACCTGAGTGAGGAGAGATTCAACCCAGAAAATTATCTTATCATAGGTAGAGATATAGATCATCCAGTTATCGAATCCATAGAAGTTTGGTCACTGATTGGTCGCGATGTACGGCAAGAGGGAGATAGATCATCTTTCTCTCATAGATGGGGTGAGTTGAGAGATAGTGATCCCGAGCGCAGTTTGAGTATGTGCTGGTGTTGGGGTATATGTCGACAATGTGAATCCTATCTTAAATTCAAGGTATGTTGGGTATGTTTTTGTCAGATAGCCCTATACGTAGGACGTATGCTTGTTGGCTTGTTAAGATCACTGTCTAATTGGGCCACAACTTAGAGATTGATGTGTATTTCGGTCCATTGTCTGCCGAGTTTCTCTGTTTTTGTCTAACTTTGGGGATGTTATCCTTTGTGGGCGAGTTTCCACAGAGGGAGGTAGCTCATCCTACAGTCGGAGTGCTCACTCTCTTGTCGTGTTCCAGGCACAGGTCTCTCACCCATCCCCACCAAAGCTGGTTCGAAGATCTTGCGAGGAATGAGGAGCAGGATCTTTCGAAACACTCAAGGAACTCCTTAGAGCATCGGGTGCCACATCGAGCATCGGATCAACGTGCACAATGCTAAAAGAAAGGAAGGAGAGTTAGTTTAGTAGCTGAGTTATGTGAATGTCTGGGTGATGCTTGTTATGATATCTAATTAGATAGAAGGGAGAAGTCTATTAATATATTTACGTGGAAAGAGAGAGCGTATGGTATGTTTCCTAAACAAAAAAACCCTCAAAAACCAACCAAACAAACAAACAAAAGAAAGTTAACAAAAAAAACAAAAACATCAAAATTATCAAGTACACAACTAGAAATATGTTTTTATGAGCGTTACAAAGGCACTAAATAAAAAATGTCACAGTATATTTAATTAAGTTTTACTTTTGACAAAAGAGACACTTGGAAATTTAAGCAAAAGCAAACTTAAAAAAAAAAAAGTTCACAGCTCTTACTATATTACAAGTTCCTCTTCCTTCTGCTATTCCACAATCCTGTGGGCACACTAGCCGGTCACAGTGTGGTCCCCCATATCCCTGAGGGCACTGGCAGAGCCCACCCTGGCACTGGGCTCCACCTGGACATACAGATCCGTCTTCATCCTCATCAGAGCTCTGCTGACACCGTCGTACCCAGAAAGATGCATTGAAGCCTTGAGGTCTGTCTGAAGTGACGTTGGCTTCAAAGTAGACTGAGATCACACCTGGAGGTAGAAGAGACGCTTATACGATGCTGAGTGATTGTGTATATGTAAACTGGTTTTGCAGTCTAAACTGTGTATTTATTAATCAATGAGTTAAAGATAAACCTGAGGTGGCCTCCACTGTGATAGGCTGAGTCCTCGTGGTGCCACAAAATGCTCCAATTAGATTGTGATCAGAATGTACGACTCCGTTACCCAGAAAACGAGGCAGGCCATCGAACACATAGACATACGAACTCTGAAAAATAAAGCATCCTGAATGTCATGAACACAGTTTCAGGTACAGTGAGCTGTTAAGTAATTTGTGTTTATTTGAACTCACTTTACAATGGGTATGAGAGTCTGGGTGTAGTGTGAGAGCTACTGGGGGACAAAACTGTCTGGGCAGACAGGGTGCCAAGTTTTCAGTCACAGAGAGGACCCACAGGCAATGAGAAAGTCCACCTTTCCCCTCTGTGCCACTCCGCCACCCCAAAGAAGAGGACAGGGGAATGGTGGTGGAGGAAGTGGAGGACAGCAGGACAGAGCGGCCTTGGCACTGGCGGTAACATGTTCCATTGTTCCTAGATGGTACAGGATAGCATAGACAAGTCACGATCACAGAATACACTGAAAATCATTCAAGGAAATTATTCCTACTCAGCAAAATGGTGAAGATCTTTACCTGGGATCTCCATAGTAGCCAGGCAGACAGGACTCGCAGTGTGGTCCCTGAGTGTTGTGGGTGCAGTAACACTGGCCTGTCTGGTTGTGACAGTATCCCTGGAGAAAGTCGCCGTGTCCGTTACACTCACAGGGAACACAGCCGCTGCCACCAGCCAGGGCTGAGCCAAAGCTACCTGGACGGCAGTGCTCACAGTGAGGCCCTGTAGTCCAGTCTGAAAGTGAAGCAAGTGAATGTTAACCAATAAACAACACGACAGCCTTTATCTATCAAACACCAAAATGCCTCCCACAGTTTCAGTTTTATGAATAGTGACTGAAATCAAATCACTATAATCCCTTTATCAAAATCTGACCTTGGCATTCATCACAGATCCCTGGAGCAGTAATACAGGTGGAGTGGAAGTTGCAGCCACAGTCAACATCACATTCTACGCCACTCAGAACCAGAGTAGCGGGATCAGATGTCCAGCCCAGGGCGCATTCACACTCAAACCGTGGGCTGCCGCTACACTGGCCCTCACGACACTCATTGTAACAGCTGTGGGACGAAGGAAGATAACTCAATGAGCAAGACGAATAAAAAGATTTTATTAAGAGATTTAAAGAAGGAATTCGTGGATTACTGTATTCTAATGCACTTACGTTTGGTTGCAGTGCAGTGTGCCATCCCCTGTGAATCCTCTCTCACAATGGCACTCATATGAAGTGGGAGTGTTGATGCAGGTAGCAGAGGGGTGACAGTTGTGGAGGCCCAGCCTGCATTCCTCTACATCAGGACATGTGGGATAGGCCCAGATTGCATCTTGCTCTTCATCACTCAAATGCTCCAACTCCATCTCCATTTCTAGGGGGCGAGGTGGGGCTGAAGTTTGGGGTTCAGGGCTAGAGAAGCAAGAAAGACAAATGTAAACTTGGACTGATATACTACACACACATCTGGCTATCAGTTTGTTCAGGATATATGTACAAGAAACATGATGAGAGATATCTCACTTTGCAGCCCGAGCTTCAGCCACAGCCACACTACAGTTATACACTGATGGATCATCCATTCCTGCCCA